GATTATAGCCTTCAATTTTTTTTATTTATTTGACCTTTTTTCGCCGGAAAATAAAAATTTCCGAGATGTTTACCATGGTTCTTAATATCCTCGGGGAGTCAAATTGGGTGCGTGGAACCGTCCAATATGCTGTTAAACGGTCATTTTACCCGTTCACAACTTGCAGCGATTTCGTAAACTGAAGCCTACCACGGACGTTTATGACAACATATTATGATCATATATGGCAACACTGGGATTTCATCCCCAACATAGTGGATGAGTTTTAGGCTGGAACAGTTGATGAAAATCTATTTCGGACCACCACCTTGAAACTTGAAGCACTCCAAATTTGGACAGACAATATCGATCTTCTTCTGTTGAAGAATAAACCTTCCAAGTAAGTGTCCCACATTGATTGAAGAAGAGAGAGTTAAACATTTTTTAAGGCTAAGGGGCTACTTCTCCTATTGCTATATGGTTTTGGGATGGAACCTATTTGGATTTATGAAGTTAACTCTCTCTCTAATTGGTTTGCAGGTACGGTCTAGACCCGTATTTAACATCTTCACTTGAATAAAATGTGCTACAAATACGTAAGTTTAGCGACCGTATTTGATCTTAACTCAAAAAAATAATAGAGCACACATCAACATCCCAAAAATTCATTTAACTTCATTTTTTTGTTTAAATTTTTTTTTGCATTTTCCGGTTTTTTCTCTCGTTCCATTTTTTTCTCCTAAATTTTCTTTTCTTGTTCTTTTCTTTTCTTTGATACTAATTATTCTCTTTTAAAATGGCAAGAATCGAAAATTATAGAGTAAATTTGATGATTTTGGTTGAAGAAATCAGTCAAACTAATGATTCGTTTCAACCCTTACAAGGGTGTGGATTTGTTGTCAAGGTCTGTTTAACTACAATTTTTTTTTTTCTGATTTGTTTATTTGACGTAAATTTTGATAAAGATTTTCTTTCTTACTTGTAGTTGAATTGTTCAATTTTCCATAACTCAATCTATGGGTATTAGGGCTGGTGAGTGCACAGCGGAAGCAAATTACAGATGTAGAGTTTGATAAGATAAGTAGAAGAAAGATAAAGGCAAAATAAGTACTCCCTCTGTGTTTTAATAAGTGTTACACTTACCAAATCCGGTCGTGTTTTAATTGCTACACTTCTTTTTTTTGGCAAAAAACTACATTAAAATATTATATTTCTATCCTCTCATGGTCCCCACCCAAACTCACTACTACTTTTTTTATTATATTTTTTTTTCACATTCATTACTTTTCAATAAACTATTAACCCTATTATCTTTCTTTTACAATTTTTTAATACTTCAACTACCCCACTGACCTCTTATTTTATTTAAGTCAATTAATTTGTCTAAAACTATAACTATGTGCTCAAACTATAACACTTAAAAAAACACGGAGGGAATAGTAGAGAATTAGACACACAATATTTAACGTGCGAAAAATTATCAAAAAACCCACCGACGACAAGCACTAAAAAATAATCCACTATATGAAAAATAGGAGAGTACAAGTATCACCCGTAATTTAATAGGGTGAATAGTAATACATCAATAACTCTCACTATAATAATTAAACTCACAAAGAAGTATTACAAATTTACAATGAATAATGGACTATGTAGAGGATTATTACAAGGATAATTGTTAGAAAGGCTTTGGTATGTCTGGCTTTTAATTTTGTGAATGCCTCAATTGAAAGTCCATTGCCTATATATAGAGAGTTATGCTTGGTGGTGGAGTAATGTCGGTGATCATTCTCTAGAATAGTGTAGATTGCTACTAATGTCTTGATGATGTCATGATATAATTTTAGAGCATTATTCACCTCAATTAACCAACATTTACTTTAGTGAACATGTTAGATTTATCTAGCAAATTTTCACATAATTAGGCTATAAAATTTGATCCATAACTAAACCCAACAATGGGAAATTTAATCCAAATGCACCCGTTGTTCCCAGAGAAATTGGAATAAACTCTTCATTTTATATTGAATGTTCTTGTGATCTCAGGTGCGAGAGCAATTGCAGTGGATTATGTGCATGACGAGGGTTCTTTTTTCCGAAACGAGCTCAACTCGTTCCCGTTAATACCTTTACGATGACCCTACGTTACCAACGTGCACCACAACTTATATCCCTTACAATTTACTCTTCGGCAGCAAGAGGGACTGATTTACCTGAAGAAATGCAAAGAGAAATCATCAAAAAGTGTTTGAATCACCTTATTTCAGGAAAGATAAGTTTAGATAAGATAAGTTCAAAAAAAATAAGTACATTTTCCCATGTTATGATTTTTTTCACTGAATTGTTGATATCATTATGTATCTTGCAATGTAAAACAATTAAATTAGCGGTAGTGATTTTTTTTTTCTTAATTAGGTGATAAGGTAGTACAAACCTTTAGAGCATCCCAAGTATTCATTTTACTCTTTTTTTTTTTTTTTTTTTTTTTTTTGTCTCGTTACAAAAACAAAACAAACATGTATTTTCCGTTTTTTTTCCCTATAAAACTTGTCTTTCATTACCCATTTTTGCTATTTTTTCCCACGTTTCTTCTCAATATAATAATCGTCTCCTTTATCTCTTCGTTCCTAAAATTTTCAATCTTCATCTCCTCGTTTTTAAAATCTTCAATCTTTATCTCTTCTTTTCTTGTTATTTTCTTTTTCTTTCATGTAATTTGTTTCATGTAAAATGACAGGAATTGTCGAAGATTACAGGGTGAATTTAATGGTTTCGGTGGATGAAATTAGTCAAACCATTGATACGTTGCGACCAATATTAGGATGACATAATCTTGAATTTGTGGTTAAGGTTTGATCTTCAGAAGTATTTTTTTTTACCCTAAACCCTTGGTTAGCGTTAACTAAGTACAATTTTTTTCTTTTTACAATATGTATTTTAATGCAAAATTTAATACAAATTTTATTTCAAAAAATAAATAAATTTAATATAGACTTTGTTTGTTAATATAGGTGAAATGTTTGGTTTGTTGTAACAAGATTTTCAAAACATTTGATCCTAACGCACCAATTGTGCCCAGTCGGAATCAAATATCCATTCTTTATTCGGTGTCCTTACGGGGTTAACAGTGGTGCTGAAGCAATCACCGTGCATTCCGTACACGAAGAGGACATATAAATATGACACAGGTAATTTTGTCGAGACGATTTGTGTATAAATACACAAATCGCCAACAGAACGCTTGGGTTAAAGGAATAAAGGCAGAAAAAATCATGATGTAAGTCTTGGACTATTACATGTCACGTGCTGACTCTTTGCCCCAAGTCCTTGCACGCGTCCTACTAGAATTACCCCTGCAATTCTAGTCAAGGATCCTAAAGCACCTTAGCAAAGCTAAATACGATGCTCAAAGTTAAGTGAGTGAAGCTTGGAAATGGCTAAGTAAGCAAGTAAGAGAGAGAACAAGGAAGATTGCTTAATAATGCTTTGTATTTCTTGAGAGACTTTACAATTGTGTGGATGGATCTACAAATGAGGGGGAAGCTCTCTATTTATAGTGCTCCCCAAGACATAGAGAATTCTATTCTAGAATGTTCTAACCTCCTCAAATGGAGAGTCTTAGAACAAGGTCAATCTAGAGAGTTCTACACGATTTCTAATATACTTCTCTCTATGTACACCGTCCTGGAATGATTTAGGCTACTCTAGTTTACAAAGAATATACAAGATTGTCCTAGAAGATTCTAGGATCTCCCGCAAGGCCCACGAACCTTGTAGCGCAATCTAGAACGTTGTGAGGCCCATCTCCAAAATCTTCCTCGACCATCGTCTTCATTGGATCCAGAAACGGTGGGCTCCCAAGTTTCATCCCGTCTGAGTTTTATTTGGGCCCCCAAATGGCTTATTATTGCATTATTGTCAATCGGGTGTTCACTAGGAAAATAGTCCTTGGGCTAAATAAAGCTCTATAGGGGGAAGGTGCTTAACACCCATGGGCATCTCCCTTGGCCCGATATGTTGCCTAGTGCTCAATCGACGTTGATGTTGCCTTTGTGGGTGTGGGGACATGCTCCCCCACCCAAGTCTTGACGACCCCGTCAAGGCCGTCCCTCAAACTCGAATATCTGGAAGCTTACAATGTCTCATTTTGTAAGAGTGGGTCATTTTATCTGTTTCCTCTATCACCTCCTCTAAAGAAGCACATGTCACATTGAGCTTCTTTTAAATCGATTTCCTTCTAATCCTTCACTTTGTTGATCTGGTTCATATAATCATTGGTTCATTTTTTTTTTTTGAATAGTAAAAATATTTCATTAATTTAAAGTCATACGACATCTACAATAGAGATTCGACGTTAACAAATGCATAAGATATTGAATCAAATAGAATTTCCCTTCATAAAAACTACGATCGTCGAGTAAATCTTGCACTGCGGAGCATCTCCCGCTTATATCGCTGAAAATTACAGCCTTGTTGGAGAGACAATCTAACGATCCTTTGTAGCCGTGAGGATGTTTTCCTTCTGTTTCATCTGTCCGTATTCGAAAACTTGATAACTTTTTCACCAACGAAATAATTTCACGACAATCCATTAGATATGCTACCATGAAATCAAAACTAAGAAATTTCTCCCTCGAAAAGAGGAGATAAACCTTGTTATTCGAAGGAGGTCGAAAAACCCTTGTCTTTCGAAGGAGATCGGAAACTCTTTCTTTCGAGGGAGAAAAGTTCCTCCCAAAAGGAGGAAGCATTATTAAAAACCTAAAAAACAATAAAGAAACAAGGATTGGGGCTTTTCACCGATTAAAATCGATGGAAGCCCCTTCAAAAACCAACAATGGAGGCTAGGGTTTTTGGAGAGAGAAAGGAGGAGAGAGAAAAGATTTTTGCTTTCTTGTTATGCTAATATCATTGGTTCATATAATCATATCACACTGGGTGTAATTGTGAAAATACCGTATTTTGAGCGGAAGGTGTTTTTTTTTTTTTTTTCAGAAAATAAAAAGCTTGTGGGCAATGTAATTCTGACACGTGTAATAGCGCCAGCTTTTAAATCATGCTTACATTTAAAAGTTGAAATACAACTTCTAATTATTACTTCCTACAATTTAAGTTTTATAATCCAACTATCAATCTATATTCTATCATAGCCGGCATAAACATGATTAAGATCAATAAATGAGCGAGCTCATTTAGAATTTACCTTTTATTTAAATATTGAGTTTTCAATTTATTATAATTTTTGCTTGACACTCTCCAGAAAGTTAAAGGACATACAAAACTTAAGAACGAACATACTCAGACCAAAACTATAGAAATCAATCATAGGAACAAGGCTCGTAGCAACGTGCACCACAAGTTATATCCTTTACAATTTACTCCTCGGCAGCAAGAGGGACTGATTCCACCTAAAGAAATGCAAAGGTAAAACATCAAAAAGTGTTCGGATCATAATGAAGGTAATTTAGGAGCTATCAGATACAAGAAATTGTAAGATGACCCTGAAAATAAAAGTAAAGAGTACCATTACGATTTGCTATACTACTGCTGAAGACGGATAATAAGTGTCATTAATTCTAATTTGGTGTATGTTTGTAATAAAAAATTAAATAGAGGTTTAGATCCCATATAGATGAGCATAATCAACTTACCAACTTGTTATACCCAATGGCCATCAACATCTCAATGTAGCGATTAGCCTTGCTCTTATCAGGCTTAGAAGTATACTTCGAAAAGCCATAAACCCCAGCGAGTGTGAGCAGCTTCTTTGAGTAAATTTTCCATGTATATCTGCATAATTTCGAACAAATCAGATGCAAAATGAGAGTAGGCATAGAGCAATAATGAAAGTAGGGAACGAAAACAATTAAACAAATTGCATTGTGCATAAATGTTGGGCTTACTTCTCCTGGATTCGTTCTAGTCCACCCTTTGAGATAAGCTCCCAATGGGTAGGATCAACCTTGCACTTCTCAAAGAAATCAACTATTAGTTCAGCTGCTTTACCACCTTGGTATGGATCAATATGAAACCCGGACTTGCCATGAGTAATAATCTCGGCAGGACCACCATTACAAGTAGCAAAAGTTGGCAATCCTGAGGTCATTGCTTCAATGACAGTCAACCCAAAGGCTTCGTAGAGAGCAGGCTGAACAAACGCCCCCTTTGTATCTGCTATGTACCTATAAAGTTCCCCATTTTTCATCCTGCTCATCTGAACAGAAATCCACCTAAACTGCCCATTCAAGTTGTATTTTTCTATGAGTTCATACATCTTCTTTAGCTCCTCCCTTTCCTCATTGTCCTGAGACTCTTTACTCCGGTCTCCAGCCACTATTACAAGGTTAACCAATTCCTGAAGCCTCTTGTTTTTTCCATACCACTCAACAAGTCCTGTGATGTTCTTCACTCGATCAAGTCTTGCCATAGAAAATATGATTGGCTTGTTTCGGTCTTTGAGCACACCCCTGTGTCAGATAATGACTTTCAGAATCTAAATAAGTAATGAGATAAGTTTTGTTAAGTGTTGGGGGAAAGATAATTTTACATGTATTCCTTGTTCTCAACAGAGCCATAAAGCATTTCTTCAAGTCCAGGGTGTAGTTGGGTAAATCTCAACTCCTTTTCGGTGTATGGAAAGTATATTGACACATCAGCTCCTGGTGAGACGATGTTGAATTTGGGATCAAAGACATTAATTCCATTGACAACTCGGAACAATCCAGGAAGAGTGAACGCCATGTGAGACTCATACTGTCCTACTTTGTTCTTACTGCGAAATAAAAGGGCATAGATATTATGATATAGCTAGAGTAAAAAAAATTGGTACAGAAGAAGTTGCTCAGAAATGTTAGAAATGAGGGCATTTACTTTCCAGCAATTTCTTGAAATGAACTAGTAATGATGAAATCCGTGTAGTTCATGGCTATAAGATCAGCTGTGAACTGACAGGAAAAGTGGTACTTGTCCTCGAATTCCTTCCAATACACGTCTGAATTTGGATACTTTGTCTTCTCCAGAGCATGAGCAATCGTGCACTTCAAAAATATATATAACAATGATAGATGAGAGAAAATATTCCAACAATAAGTCTATTAACAAAGACAGGATCATATAATCAAGGGAACACACCATAGTAACTCCTAGTTTATATGCCAAAAGCATGGCAACCATGTTCCCATCACTGTAGTTTCCAATTATCAAATCAGGCGTGGTTTGCAGCTCCTTGGAAAGTTCATTTGCCACTTCCTAAGGTTAAAAAAATATGATTCTATCATTAAAGTTTCTAAATTTGAAGGGTGTAAAGAGAAAAAATAATATGAATGATTTATATATGCTATATACCTCAGTGAATGTCTCTAGGTAAGGCCATACTTCAAATCTTGATATCCATTTCTTAACCATTCCTTTCTTGGTTCTGAATGGCACACGGATGATGTCAGAGTTCTGAGTTCCATAAACCCTCTCAAGGCGCTGCCCACAGGTGGTACCAGCCACATTTGGTAGCAGACGAGTGATCTGTTATACATATCGAATTTAGCAGATAGGAGATATGAGCAAGTAGTTTGTATATATTAGGCCAAGAAATACGGGAACTAAAACATAAACGTACAATAAGGATTCGTGGGATTATGTCTAGTCCTTGCTGCTTAATGCGTAGTATCATTTCAGCCTCTAATGCACGAACTTGATCCAAGATATATACCACCTACAGATCATACATAAGAAATACATGAACTGAAAAATATAAGAAAATGTAATACAAAGTATTTATCAATTGATTCTTAGTTGTGATGATGAACCTGGCCACCAGTGTCAGGATAACCTAAGACGTTTTCCTGGGCAAAGTAACCATGAGGAGATAGAATTACGAGGTTGAAAACCAAAGGGATTCTGCTAAGAAACTTCTCGAGACTGGATGGATCAGGAGCATTAATAAGGTCTAGAAGCAGGCTGATCATGCCCAAAGAACGCTCAGCATTGTCACCCCATCCTCTCTCAAATCCAATCTCCTGGAGCTTCTGCTCAAAGTCAGAGTATGGAATAGAAGGAGGTTGGGCGAGTAGATATTCCTGTGCGTTAAGCAATGCAGACTTAAGAGCATTCAGGTCCTCAATTTTGTCATTCAACATCAAAGACTGCACCCAAAAGAAGAAAATCTTAATCAAACATCAAACTTTGGTTAGCCAATAATTAATGAAGTAGTGGGCTTCAATGTTACCTTCCCTTTATAGTGATGAACTCGGAGAAAATCAAGAAGATTATCCATGCCTTTTCCGTCTTGGAACATCTTAGCAGAAAGGTTGCAGTTGAGGAACTCAGCGCCATTCCCAATTGACTGGGGAAGAGAGGGAAGTTTTAATGATCCACAGGATGGTTCGAAATCCAGTTCGAGTACAAACTTTTCCTTCAAGCTGCATTATATTAAACCAAGATTGGCAAAACAATCCTTGTTGAAAAGGAGGTTATAAATAGTGTAATTGACTGTTAAAAGTAAATAATGTTTACTTCTCATCGACCACCATCTCTTTGAGTCTTAGAAACTCTGCCGTTGTCAGTTCCTTAAACACACGACTCTTGATGTCAAAAGAGATGTAGTTCCAGACACCCAGATTCTGACGAATAACAAGAGCAATTGATGGAAGGAAAACTATTGCTTCCTGCAAAGAAAAATAAAATCAGAAAAGCAATTGCTTTCAGCATACAAGAAGGGATCAGTAAGGTTGTAGCACCTGAGTGGACCTAATAACTTCAGCAAAAAATCCATCAGCAAGATTCAGCTCTTCAAATTCAGCAAGCAGTTGCTGACGCTGAAGGATTGCTTTTCCATGGGTCTCAACTCTGCATCAAAGTTTCATTATTTAATAAGCATTATTAAGCATCAAATTTAAACTCATATTATATGCATTAGCATCACAATTATGTAAAGTACTAAGTTGATACAAATATACAATTTATGCCACCACACTACCCTCCCTCATCCCCTTCCACCCCCGTAACAAGATATGCAAAGCAAGGAAAAATCACCTCGAGAAGAACATGAGAATCTCATTTTGGTGAGTAGATAATGCTTCATCTAAACGAGCCTTAAGATTAGCAGACATTTTTATTGACTGAAGAAGGGGGAAATAATAGAGACAGTTGAAATTATAAGTGGCTAAAAAAATATGTATGAACAAGGATGAAAGATTGTAGATTTTATAGCTGATGAGTCCTTTGTCCGAAGAAAACCATCAGAAGTATTTTTGGTAAATTTCTTACCACCAATGCTGACATGCTCTGTATGTGATATTTTAAAGATATTTTATCTACACAGCAAGAAAACTATACGTGTAAATTTTCTACCAAAAAGCTAAAATCTAGTCGGATAATAATATGAAAGTTTCCATATATGCATATATTCCTTTGAATATATTGCCCAAGAGGATTCACTGCTATAGTGCTATCCAAGAAAGAGATAATAAGTCGTGCAAATCTCAATAATTTTTCTATTATTTCTGTCAAAAACTACTTTCCTGTCATGGAGATTTTGCCCTATGTTACTCGAATCCTAGGGGTGTCAATCCTACACCCGAGTGTAATATCACACCTCTCACGTTCTCAAGCTCACATGCATTGTACATGAGCAAGTGAGCTTTTTAGTTTGGACATACCTTTTGGGAGGGCCAAGGATTCAATGGTAATTTTGCCTTCACTGGTAAACTGCTTGGCTGCTCATACATAGCTGACATGTTTATAAAGTAACTTATAAAAAATGATCAGCATAGATTAGTAAATTTTGACTAAGAGAGGCGGTTTCAGATTTATACCAACAGCTTGACAGAGTTTTAGAAGCTAACCAATGATAAAACAGAATGCAACTTTTGACTCAGAAAATCAGTGCACTTCTGATTCATAGCAGCTTTACATACCTGGAGAATCTATGCAATTGATCATTGTCATTTGCATTTTTCACGCAACTTTGAGCAAAATGCTTTCTACAAACGAGCTGCATTCTGAAATTGAAATATGAACATACTGTCATAGAATTAGCACTGAAAGGTGCATATGGTGCAATGGTGTACCACTAACTAGTAACCACAGAGAATGTTTTAGCAGACTTATCAAAGATAATTCATTACCTCACATAAAAAATGTGACATAAATGCCCAAAAAACTCTTTTCTGCTAGCTTGTCTTAGATCAGTTAGATATCGGCAGAACCACCAGGACTGAATGCACTCTGGAAGATCCACATAAGATGGCAGCATCCAGAAACCAAAAAATAAAAAGATAAAAAGTAATCTAGGCACAGGAATCACCAGGTAACTATCAAAGTCACCAATAAGGCAATAATCCTATAAACCAAATAAAAAGACAGCATTGAATTCATGAATTGTCAAACATTTTGAAAGGGAAAATCTGAAAAGGTCAGTATCTTATAGATTTTAATTCAGATTTACCAGCAACATTACATGACTTTGAAATTACTACAAAAAGTTTTGAGTAATTTTGATTTCAGCTATTACTCCTATATTCATTTCTGATGCAGCAGAATGATTAACATATTTTTGGCATTGAATCACAACAGAATAAAATAACATGTTAATGTTCACTTTGATCATTTAAGTAGGTTTCCAACAGGATATGGCAAACAAAATCCTTCCTTTCCAACCCTGAACCAACCAATGCCTGTCTTGCTCCACCATAAAATCCTTCTGGTAATTTGCTCTTACCATTGCCCTTGCTTTATTTACAATTCCTTGATCCAGTGGTATCTGCATGAATCCAGCCCTCTTGTGGCGCACCTGCCACTGCTTGTATGTCTCTGGTCTCTCAATTCTCTCACTCCCCTCGCACGCTACTATGTTCATGGCATCTTTACCATATAAGTAATTTTCGATCAGTTGCCTTTGCTGATCTTCACGAAGCATGGTAGCTTCAAACACATCAAACAAAGAAGAGTAGTGGTAAAGTGCTTCCCTGAACCGAGTGATGAAGAAGGGAGCATTGAATGTTCCATTGACAACACCATTGATGAATAGATCAGGATTTAAGCTCCTTACCAACTTCAAGAAAGTATCCCGCGGGCTGCCAGCATCAACAGTCTCATCAGGCAGCCTTCTTGACTTATAAAGACAGGAAACTACTACAAGCTCATCCTTTTCAATGTTGAAATCTTCTGGCTTTATGGTATGCCACCGCTGTGCAATGGCCTGAAACTCGAAAGGCACCCCAAATCTCTCACAGTAACCTGCTAATCTTCTACCTGTCTCTTCAACTGTCTGTGCAGGTTTGAAACCACTCTTGGGATTATCTACTCCCGTAATTTTAAGCCTTGGAGGGCCAAGAGGTCTTCTTGAGAGAGTTTGAATTAGGCAGGGCCATTGGAAACCCATAAAGATGCCAAAATCAATAATGTGTATTTTCGGTGCTTTTTCAGCCAACTTTGCTATTGTCTGATTGGCTACATAATGAGTGGTCCGTTGGAAAGGGAGAGCAGAAACATATAATCTGTAGCCTCTCAAGATATCATAGGATGAAAATCGCTTCCAATCAGAAGCTTTGTATAGCTCTGAGCCTGTACCGGTCATACGTGCTTCAAGGCCATTTGCAAAATAATGTGCTATCCTCTGGACACTATCACCAAATGGCGTAGCATGCTGCCTAATTTGCTTGAGTAGCTCATTTGCAGTTCTAAGCTCAGCACATGATACAGCTTCTGCACACTGAATGAGGAGAGTCCTAAGATCCACCACTTCTGTACTAGTCTTTTTCTTACCACGCTTAGCTCTACGCTTACTCTTGGACCCTTTTGGTTCTTCTTCCTGCTCTGAATCCTGACTGGCATCCTTAACCGCGTTATTGCTGATACAGGTTAAAATATCATTGTTTTCTTCCTTACTAATCATCAATGCATCATCAAACTTCTCCATTTCCGAATATTCCTCATTGTTAGTAGCTAGTTGTTTTGCACTCCTTTCTTCCACCTGACCAGAATTTTCTCTATGAAGATTCTTCCTTCCCCTAGATCCATAACCCAGTTCTTCCCTACTATCTCCAATACCCTCATAATTCTTCTCCTTACATGCCCGACTAATCCCGGAATTGACTACAGAACTCAACTCATTGACAAATAGTGTGCTGACAGGAGAGTCTGCAACCCCATCTTTCAAATAATTAAAGCTACTGCTAGAGCCAGATCCCTCTGAAGTTGACTCCAACACATGATGAGTATCATCAATGTGTTGAAATCCTTCTGACAGACTTTGATGGATCAGCCAGTTGGATTCAACACCGACACCATAGCAACCACTACTCCCTTGATTGCTGGAGTTTGTGTTGAGATCATCTGACAACGGCCTTTGATCGGGACAAAGCGGGTATGTCTCCCCTGCAAGAACATCATAGAATGACTTCTCAGTGGCTTGGAGTGCATGATAATCCTGCAAAGTAGCAGGGTTATCATCCATATCCTCTTCCATGAGAATATCATTCATGTACTTAAGACATGCATCAGAAAAATCGGGTATCTCTGAATTTTCTTCATGGGTTTGATAGTATTGATCATATAGTGGGTCATTTACAGAGATGGGTTCTTCGTATAAACCATAGTTTTGAAAACACCCATTTTCATTGACACATCTTTCAGAGCTTGAAAAGCTTGGATACTCTTCTTCAGGAACAAAATACATTTTTTTTAAAACCAAAAAAAAATCAATACTTTTCAGAAAATCACGGAGTTTCTAACAGACAAAATATCAAACAGTTGGTGTGCAATGAAATAGCAAAACCAAAATCCAAACTAACATAAACATCAACAGGTAAAATCAAGTAAGAAGATGTTTAAATCGATAAAAGGGGGGAAATTGAGTAAAGTCAAAAGATTAACAACAAAAGATAAAGGTATAAATCTCAACAGAAATATGAAGAAAAGTCAAAGGATAGACATTTGTGGAAGTGTTGACTTTTAACTCATAGATTCAGGTATCTAAAATCTAATCATGCCAAAGAAATGTTGATTTGATTATATACATAGGATTAAACATCCTTAAGGGTGGAAATTCATGAATTCATAGTATGACATAATTTAATACAGAGTATATTATTAATATTAACCAAATAACCAAGAAACTTCCTAGAACATGCATGCTTAAACAAGAACAACGACTCAACAACATTAAGTTGACTCCTACTCCGTACGCCACTTTTGGTTGCATGACATTTTTTAATGAGGAATTTAATTTGATTGATTTAGCTAAACCTCTGATTAATTTAGAGTCAGTTCAGTTCAGCTTCAATCAGTTCAGATAAGTTTCTTATTTCCTTCTCTTATAAACAATTTAGTTCAGCTAATTTCAGTTCAGCTTCAATCAGTTCGGTTCAGTTTAATAAATCAGAACAGGCTCTTAGTCTTACATTTATATTACTGTCAGTGATTTTGTTATACAAATGTAATATGAGCAAAAGAGGCAAGAGATTAGATATGATTCGAACAAAACAGGCTCGAGTTGTCTCCTACGGTTCCTACCAAGTTCATAATATAGATGATATGAAATTGCTAATACTCGGTAATATATCCGTCTTTGAATTTTGACTTTTTTCAAAGTTGTCAGTATCAAAATTGTTATAAACTTAGGAACAGTAACACGCATTTGATTATTCAAACCTTTTTACTAACGTAATGTACCACATTTCAAGTTAAATCATCGAACTAATCTAATGTGGTTATATTTCATTCTAAAAAGTTAATCGACAATAGACCAAGTACAGTCAACCCCAAACTTACTCAAACCAAGCCAATCCTTACTTGAATTTGACATGACCGGATGACCCCTTTGCCAAATCTTCATTGTATATAGAAGGTTGTTATATAATTTTGTTTGTGTGTAACAGTGACGTATTATGACTTCCTCTCTATTATTCCAATAATAGGACATACCAATTATACCACTTTATATGAATAATCTCTTGATTGGCCAATGACCGTCCTCGAAGTTAACGGAATAATTACCGCCGTGACCTCAAACAAGATACAGTACATCAGTACATGTGAAATGTCAAAATGTGCAAGATTCAAGGTTGATGTGTCGGAAACAAAATCTTAATATATGAGCCGCATAATATCTCTTAGGATCTCCATTGATTCAGATCATTTGCTCATTTGCCGTCCATAATGTACTTATCTCCTTTTAATATACCAAATATAATCATCTAGAAATGAAACGACTTCAACTTACCCACGGTATAGTTTCAAAGTACTAAAATGACGCAAAGTGATTGTTATGGGGTGCTATTTTTTCCAAATACGGAGGTTGTTATGAGGCAGAGAGCGCAAGCAGACATACGATACAGGATTCCCAACATTTTAGTAAGGACCTCGATATCAAGTTGGTGATTGGAACCATCTCTTACACTTTTTGAATATCAATACAACATTATCTAGAAATAACTCATTCTCGATACTTTATAGAGAGACATATAGGTAAGCTTATTATAATTGCAAACCAACTTATATAACAAAAAATGAGATGAAACCTCCAAAATTTCTCAAAAACTGTGGATAATAAAAATTGCCGAAATGTTTACCATGGTCCCTAATATCTTCCGTGAGTCCAATTGGCTAGATGGAACCATCCAATTTGCCTTTAAACGACCAATTTACCAATTTACTACTTGCACCGATTTCATTAACTCAAGCCTACCACGAACATTTATGACAACATATAATGATTTTATATGATTCCAAACGGCATTATATCACCCCGAGATGTATTCCCTAAAATCTCAAGGTTTTTCGACACCGTGCCTTGAAACCTCCAAAATTTCTCAAAAAGCGTGGATATAAGCCTTCAATTTTGGAATTTTTTGACTTTTTTTCGCCCAAAAATAAAAATTGCCAAAATTTTTACCATGGTCCCTAATATCCCTCGGGAGTCCAATTTGGTGGGTGGAACCATTCAATTTGCCTTTAAACGACCAATTTAACGATTTACAACTTCCACTCATTTCATTAAATCAAGCCTACCACGAACATTTATGACAACATATAATGATCATAAATGGTTCCAAACGGCATTATATGACCCTGAGATGTATCCCTTAAAATTTCAAGGCTTTTCGACTCCAGACCTCGAAACCTTTAAAATTTCTCAAAAAGCGTGGACATTAGCCTTAAATTTTTGAAATTTTTGACTTTTTATCGCCCAAAAATAAAAATTACCGAAATGTTTACCATGGTCCCTAATTATATCTTCCGGGAGTCCAATTGGGTAGGTGGAACCATCCAATTTGCCTTTAAACGTCCAATTTACTAGTTTACAACTTGCACTGATTTCATTAAGTTAAGCCTACCACAAACATCTATGACAACATATAATGATCATATATGGTTTCAAACGGCATTATATGACCCCCAAGATGTATCCGCTAAATTTAAAGGCTTTTCGACACCATGTCCTGAAACCTCCAAAATTTCTCAAAAAACGTGGATATAAGCCTTCAATTTTGGAAAATTTTGACTTTTTTTCTCCCGAAAATAAAAATTGCCGAAATTTTTACCATGGTCCCTATTTTCCTCCAGGAGTCCAATTGAGTAAGTTTATCTATCCAATTTATCTTTAAACGACCAATTTACTGGTTTACAACTTGAACCAATTTCATTAAATCAAGCTTACCACGAACATTTATGACAACATATAATGAACATAAATGGTTCCAAATGGCATTATATGACCCCAAGATGTATCCCAAAAAATTTCAAAGCTTTTCGACACTGGGCCTCGAAACCTTTAAAATTTCTCAAAAAGCGACATTAGCCTTTAATTTTGGAAATTTTTGACTTTTTATCGCCCGAAAATAAAAATTGCCGAAATGTTTACTATGGTCCCTAATATCTTCCGGGAGTCTAATTGGATGGGTGGTACCATCCAATTTGTCTTTAAACGATCAATTTACCGGTTTACAACTTGCACTGATTTCATTAAGCCTACCACGAACATCTATGACAACGTATAATGATTATATATGGATCCAAACGACATTATATGACCCCCAGATCTATTCCCTAAAATCTCAAGACTTTGTGACACCGGGCCCTCGAAACCTACAAAATTTCTCAAAAAGCGTGGACATTAGTCTTCAATTTTGGAAATTTTTGACTTTTTTCGTCCGGAATAAAAATTTCCGAAATGTATCATGGTCCCCAATCCTCCGGGAGTCCAATTGGGTGGGTGGAACCATCCAAATTGCCTTTAAACGACCAATTTACCAGTTTACAACTTTCACCGATTTACCGGTTTACAATGGCCAATTTAATTAACTTGTATAGAACCCTACTAGAACCGAAATTGACTCAAACCCGTTTTAACTCGTCAAAACCCGAATTTAATCCGACTTGTTACTTACCTGACCTGAATTCAACCCGACCTGAATTTAACCCAACCTGTTACAAACTCGAACCAAAATCAACCCGACTTGTTATTGACCTAACTTAAATTAAACCCGATTTGTTATTGACTTGTCCCGAATTTTACCAGACCTATTACTTACCCGGCCCAAAAATTCTACCTGATCTGTTACTAACTCGACTCGAAATTAACACGACTTGTTATTGACCCGACCTAAATTCAACCCAAATTATTCCTGACCCGATTTCAAATCACCATAAATGCAATTTAGACCACCTTATTATTGTTGATCAAAGCATATTGTATAGGGAGACCAAGTCGGTCCAGGCCAGCAAAAAAAAGGGAGCATCATCCTCAAATTTAAGAGTTAAATATAGTATATATTTGTTATATGGTCAAAGGAGAGAATTATCTTCCTAAACTATACACTATAGTTTCCTAGTAAATTGTCATATATATTATAGTCAAAGGAAATAATTAGCTTGATAAAAATGATAATTATTTATTTATAGTTTGTTGAACCCAAATAAGACTTGACTTGGAAATGACCCCACCTGATTGTAACCTGCAAATTATTGGCTTGAACATAACCCGACTTGGAAATGACCCAACCTAATTATAACCCGCAAATTATTGACTTGAACCGAACCCGACTTGAACCCGAGAATGACCCGACTTGAAAATGACCCGATCTGATTATAATCCGCAAATTATTGACTTGAACCGAACCCGACTCAAACCTGAGAATGACCCGACCTGATTCTAACCCGCAAATTATTGACTTGAACTGAACCCGACTCGAACCCGAGAATTACCTTAACCCGTTTTAACCCATGAACCCGACCTATTGTTCACCCGACCCGAATGTAACCCGACTTGTTATTAACCCGACCTAAACCCGACCCAAACCCGATAAGAAGTATGACCCGGCGTGAACCGACTCAAGCATGACGCAACCCACACTCGACCCGCATAGGTTATGGAAATAATCCGAATTGACCCGACCCGAATTGACCTGACCCACTCTTACCCCAACCCAAACCCGACCCGTTTACCCAAATTGACAGCTTTGATATAACCCCAAGCGATACCCTACACAATTACTTCAATTTTAGAAAGAAAAAAAAAATCCAAAATTGGTTCGAAAGTGTGTATAGTATTAAGTTTTGGACAATTTTGACTTTTTCAAACCTGAAATAATAAAATGTATAGATGTTTTCCATAGACCTCAAGAAGTCATTTGAGTTGCTTAAAACGTCCACTTTGTCTTTACTTTATTAATTTAGCAATTACATATGCACCATGTTTCATTCACAATAAGGCCACCACAGGCCTTTATGTGATCGTCTAGTGGTTGTAACGTATGTTTCTTTCTCCGTAACAAGAGATAACATCAACTTCTTAAAATTTTAGATTAACAAAAAAAATAGCCAAAAAAGATGATTAATTTGTTTATTAACATTGACCAAAACTGCATTACCCAGACCAATAATATAGCACTGACCACTCACTTGACTGAGTCTGAGACAAACGAAGAAACGTCAACAGTGACGCATTCTCATTCATCTGGCCGAGTTGACTCAACCACCTGAACAGTCAACTGCTTTGGCTTAACTCTCAAGCTTCCTTCCAAACATGGGCACCCACCACTACATTCTAGAATCTCCCCTTTATTTTATTTATAAGCTTGCTAATCATGTTATCTTATTATCATTTTAGGGTATCTTAATCATTGAAGTTTTCTTTGGGACACTAGTTTGATTTCTGTTAACAATGTTATTGACTGTAATGATTTGATGAGACTGTGAGCCTTTACAATTTGAGTTAATGTTTCAAAGGCCGAAACTAAAGTAGATGCAGCCACATTGCATGCCATGCCGCCCTTGAAAGGCACACGGAGCCTAAGCAAGCTGTGGAATAAGCACACAACGTCACGACAGCATGTCAGGGCACCCTACATGGGCTACATCAGTAACAGCAAGTGCTCCTTCCAGTCTTGCTGCTTTATCTAGCCCACAGAGACATGAACAAAACAAGCACAACACATTCTCTCAAATTGGCATAAACTGCACCATAGTTGAATTTTAGACTCTTCAGAATATACAGCTGAAAATTTCACTGAATATCAGCAATGTCAATTGATTCTTGCAGAGTAATAAATCACAAATTTTTGGACAAGGAAAATGCTTTTTATGTATCATCCAATAAAAAGTTTCCTTGACAAACTAACTGGTAAAAATACACGGTGGTGGATAACAACACAGTGAACAAACTTTTCTAAGTCACATAAAAGATATGCGACATCATTCTAAATGTCAATCTGTGAAAATGAGCTGACTAACCTCTCCTCTTGCTTTGAGACTTTGGGGGCACCAGTACGTTGTAGTCCAGTTTATCTTGCTTTGATTATGAGCTGATTAACCTCCCCTTCTCTTGCTTTGAGACTTAGGGGGCACCAGTACATTGTAGTCTAGTTTATCTCGCTTTGATTGCTTGTGAGAACTGTTCTCACTTGGAGAAGGCTGCTTATTCCCTTGACCATCTTTCTGCAATTTCTTGGGCTTGTTTTTCTTTGACAACGTCTCAGGTTGTTTCCGTTTTAGTTCTTCATCAACATCAATGGTGCCCTTATTCATCTCAGTACGATCTGATGTGTCATTTTCCCTGTCAAGGCAAATATATGAAGGCTCACATTTTCTATGAAAAGCCAAATATGATACTTGCCTAAATTATAACTTTAAGGTACAGGTCTAAAATATAGCTTCAAGTCTTTAAGGTACTTGTCTAAATTATTCATTGAGAATAGAGCTGCTTTTAACACACAACACAAACGATATTTTGGGTCTAATGGACTATAAGAGGAGTTTTTTTCGGGTTTAAAATTGGAGTTTCAGAGGAAGAATGTATAACAGATAAACACATGTCACAGTCATTAGTTATGAACATGTAGAAACAGTAATCAATCACAGTTTAATTACTCTCTATAATTTTGGATAACAAAGAGTCACCTCTAGTATAGGTCTGTTTTCTAAGGCCCAACAATACAGCTACACTTCATGAAGGTCAGGTTTCAAGTTCTTGATATGTTTCATGTTTCAAAAAACTCAGGAGAATCCTCCTTTAGAGTTTAGACACTATCACTAGGCAATTCCCACTCTAAGACCTTTGTTGCAGTCACCTTAAGTTCTACCAATATAATCTTTTAAGTCAAAATATAACAAGGTGATTATCAACATTTTTTCTTATTCTAGTTCCCTATAACTTCAGGAAGTCACTTATCTCTTTCCATGCCATATCTACATTGCTACACAGATAGTTGACAGTGAAAAAAACATTATACCTGTCCAAATTTCTTCCTGTTTGAAAACTTGACGATGTTGATGCTTCTGCTTCATGACCGTTAGCCGCTTCATCTTTCAGTTTCTACAAATTCAAGCTTTAAAATGAGAGTAGAAGGCAGAAAACAAATGCAGGAGAACAATAGGATGATAATTCTTGAGAAATATAAGGCCATTCAACTATTATACTCACATCAATAGTTGGATTGAAGTTCTGAAATGACATGCGACCTCTTACAGTCCCTGGATGGGGGTCTCCTTCCATGATGACCACACTGCGAATTAAATTGAAGTCAATGCTTCTGTATCAGCCACAAACAAAGGGAAAATCTAGATAAATGCTTTTAATCAAATCTTCATGCTCAAAACATCCAGGTCAACCAGCCTAAACTCTTAAAAATAAAAGATCACAGCCAAAATCTGTTCATCAAGCTATGATGGCAGCTAAACCAAACTTCAAGTCTCGGCAGCAATCACCTCAGCCACCAACAGCTCAACAACCCCCCCCCCCCCTCCACAAAAAAAAAAAAAAAAAAAAAAACACTTCCCAACATCTTTTATTCAATTTTACTCCATGTATTACATATTTTACTCTTATCACATACACATATATGGTAGCCAATATGCCATCCAAGTTGTTGATAGCCAAGACAAGCCACAATATTGACATGCATAGATAGCCTGAAATAATTCTAACCAAAGCAATCATGGGTGGAAATATTAAACAGCCCAAAATAAATTGTCAATCAGGAAACAGACCCAATCAGCAACAAGGAAACAGACCCAAGCAGTAAAGGTTCTAGATCTTAATCATCTAAGGTTCTAGATCTTAATCATCTAAAGGTTCTAAACATAAGAAGTTTAGCAAGACCCAAGAATGCGGGCAACAAGACTAGGCAAAAGTCAACATGTAATGGCTATAATCCCAAAATACAAAAAATTGGGGTGAAACAATAACCCCCTTTGCTGGATCAAGATGCAGGAAGGGTGCAAGACAGAGCATGGAATTCAACTTAATTGATTCCAGAAAAGACATAACAATTATAGAAGGGAAGCAAACACAAGGAGAGCATCAACACAATTCCCAGTAAAAAAGAAAGCGGCAATCGAGTATTACAAGTAAAACGAAGAGCTATAATATCAATGCAAGATTATTCAGGAAAAACAAAAAGTAAGATGGAGTTGAGCAAAAACTGTACATGTATGCAACTCTTGTTTTTCAAGATTAAGGGGAAGTGTTCAAAAAAAGTAATCTAGAAAATCTTCTATGTCTAGAAGTACGTATGTAAGATTGTTTTCAATACAAATGAAAATGACTAGAAAAGTCTAGCATAGGAAATGATACAGTAGGCCTAGAAAGAATTGAAGCGAAAAGGGTACAATTCACTAGAATTCAATACAGTTTACAACAAACACCACCACATAGTATTAACCATGTAATTACTCATTAAACAAGTTAGGGAGTTATAAAGATCTCTAGATGCAATTAATCAACCACCCTTACCCATTACCCTTACAACTTAACTGTTTGGACACAGTCACAGGACCTTTCAGTTCCAAGGTCAAAAGAAAAAAAATGCATGGATTGTTCAACCATCTTCCACAAAACTTGAAAACTTGAAGTCCCCAAACTTGTTTCCTACAAACTACAGAAGTAGCTTACCCAACAAAAGTTAGGAAAGTTGAACCAACATAGTTCATCCTTTGCCCAAGTTACATAGTGTATTTAACTTGTTAACTTGTTCTATTGACTCAAAAACAGTTGTTGAAAAAGTTCCGATGGCTAAAAACTGACAAGTAAACTGACTATTTAACACATAAGAAATTCATTCTCGTCGACTCAATGCCTAGAAAATATTATCCTATGGAGCAACTTCTCTCGATTAAGTCATTGCTGGATATGACCATAAAACCCAATAAGATTAAGTTACCTCTCCCCCAATCAAACCTATTTCCAGCACTCTTCTCTTTCAATAGAGGCAGCATTGCAAACCATAACAAGTCCACAAAAAGTCTCCTCCAAAACAAACCATAGTGGTGGTACCAACGATTAAATCTAACTGACTCTTCAGGATTATTCAACAATTAAAACTTTAAAAAAAAACATGCAGTGGTAACGAAAACACAGTTCATCAGCTAAAAAGTAAAACAATGTTGAAAGTTAAAATAAAATTAAATAAAAACACCCCTACCATTTTCTACTAACATTACTAGGGAAATTAAATTTCCCATCCGGCTTGGTTTCCTCCACTTCCTTCTTAGGTTTCTCCTCTTTCTGAGCTCCCCTTTGCATAAACTTTTACACAGCAAATTCCCAAGATAATCACACAAATTAGCAACCCAAAAAATACTGTTCACTTTATAACACCAATACAATAAAAATAAAAATTCAAGACCTAATCTTTACAATAAACCTCAACTGAAAACACTATAATAAGACATTCCCAGATAAAATCAAGAAAATAAAAAAACCCAGTTCAAATCTCAAACTAATATAGCAAATTTAAAAACATAAAACACATAATTACATAATTATCAGTATAAATTTACCTTCAAGTTCTTCAAAGTAGCCGACATCTCCCTTTTCGCCATATTTTATCCCTCCTAAAGATTCAATCTTTCTCCCAAAACCTCTGATTTCTCTGGTTACAATCAAGGGTTTTGGGTTTTGAGATTGCAGGACCAAAAATAAGGGTTTGGTTGCCCAAAAATCCTCGATGCAAAAACACTTCAAAGTTTCCTTATTTACCAAAATACCACCTTTTTTATCTTCTGTTACGCGGCTTATTTTAAAAAATATGGAAACACTATATTATTAGTTGATTTGGAATCCCAAGTATCACAATAAAAAATCAACGGTTATAAAAGATATATATACTAATTCGCTATTTTAGGAAACACAGACAATAAAATTTTGAGAAACTATAAAATCCTTAACACCCTTATTTTCTCTCTCTACCTCTCATATAAAGGGATCTTTACTTAAAAATTTTCTTCTCACCGTCTTCTTCATCTTCATTAAGATTAATTTAAAATAAATTTCTGGGTAATTTTTTTTTAATTCCCTCGTCATTGTATAAAGTTTAATTTTTGTGGGGTAATTTTTTTTTTTTTTTTTTTATAGTACTTCATGATAAATTATGATTGATTACTGGAAATTTTGATTTTAAGAATTGAACTTTATTGTAACTGTTTTTTTGTTGCAATCAACTCATTTGATTTAAGTTTTTCTGTGTTTTTGACAGGAATTGATTGGTGCAATTTTTGTGAATCTTGGAAATCATGGTATGTGAAGGTTTAAGGGTTGATGATTGATTGTTCTTGTTGCTTAATTTTGATTGTTTTATGTTGCAAAATTTAGTATTTGTTGTTGGATTGGTGATTTAATTGGAGTTAAGAATGAAGTTACTTGTAATAAAGTACTGAAATTAGAGTTATGTTGTTGTAATCGGATATGATCTATGTAATCTGGATATCAGTTTTTGAAGCACTTACACTAGATTGCTGGTGACCAATTAAGTAAATCAATGACAAATTGTAGTTAGAATGCTTGAGATTTCACCGTTGATGACGGGTTTGTTTCGATTTTTGCAGTCTTATAATGAAGATTATGGTCGACACAATTCGATATTTACACAAAGTTACCGATGTTACCCTGCCTCTTTTATTGATAAGGTTTGTCAAATGAACAGAATTGCATTGTTGTAACTTCTCTTGTTGATGAAATTCTAGTCATACAGATGATTAATCATCCTTGTTATATGATTCGTGATGTCGTCTTGACCCTCCTTAAGTTGTTATGTGTTCTTTCAAATTGGTGAATATGATTGAATTGACCCTTAACTAGACTAAAGAAAACTGAATACTTGTTTTCTTTCCCCTTTTACTTTCTTGTATCTAGTAATTACTTTGGATTAGTACACTTGTGCATATTGTGGTCAGCTACGCTTTTCCTATATTATGATCAACTCATACAAGTCTTCTTTTCTTGCAGCCGCAACTGGAGAAGGGCGATAAGAGTATGTATATACATGACAGATTTCATGACTTGCACATTTTGTTTATTTACTTGGATGAGATAACATAGTTGTGACTTTTGCTGCATTTCTAGTTGATTTTTATGAAAATTCATTTTGTGAACTTACGACCTTCTTTACTGCAGTTATAATGCCTCCATCAGCTCTTGATCGACTTGGTAAAAACTGTTTTCAAGTACTTCCCTTTAAAATTGTGTGCAAAATGTGCTTTCTGCTTGAAATAACATCTGTTGTTCTTTAGCTTTTCTGCACATCGAGTATCCAATGTTGTTCGAGTTGAGCAATCCATCTGCTGATCGTGTCACTCATTGTGGGGTGCTGGAATTTGTTGCTGATGAAGGCCTAATTTATCTTCCATACTGGGTAATTCTTGCTTGATCTTGTTGACTTGAGCATGAAAGATAAATCGGGGGGGAGGGGGGGGGGGGGGAGGATTGAGAGCTATAGAACAGTCTAATGTTGAGTGTTGTTTTTGCATAGAGTGTTTTATTGTAGCTTTAGCACTGAATGCCTTCTTGTCTTGCATCAGATGATGCAGAATATGCTTCTCCAGGAGGGAGACATTGTTCAAGTTAAGAATGCTAGTCTATCAAAGGGAAAATTTGTGAAACTCCAACCTCACACCAAGGACTTCCTTGATATATCCAACCCCAAAGTCGTGTAAGCTGCTAGCCTGAGCTCGATAGTTGATTGGAAGACAAGCTTTGGATCAGTTTTTCAGTGGTTGTTTATTTGTCTGCTTGCAGCTTAGAGACTAGTTTGAGGAGCTTCTCTTGTTTAACCACTGGAGACACAATCATGGTTGATTATAACAACAAAAGATTTTTCATTGATGTTGTGGAGACCAAACCCTCATCAGCTGTCAGTATTATTGAGACTGACTGTGAGGTCGACTTTGCACCACCCCTTGATTACAAAGAACCTGAGAAGCCATCACGTCCAACACCAACAAAGAGATCAAGGCCAGAAGGTTATTTTCCTGTTCATAAAATTGGGCACCCCCTGGAAAGATTTTCTTTTCGGGGTTTTCATGTCTACTGTCTAGAAACTAATTGTTTGATTTTTCTGTAGTTGAAGAAGAGCCAGATAAGAAAGTTGCCAAATTTAACCCATTCACGGGACCAGGGAGACGCTTGAATGGAAAACCTTCAACAACAACTGATGAAACAGCTGAAAATCCAGAGTCTAGTAAAACTAAAGCAACAGAAACCCCTGCTTCTACCCAGTGCAACAAGAATGAAGCACCATCGAGCTCCACTAGTTCTACTCGAAGTTGTGGGAAGCTTGTTTTTGGTTCAAGGTCAGACCAACCTGCAAATGGGACGCCAAAAGTACGTATATATAATTTGGGCTATCTTGTTTCCGTTGTGTGTATCATCTTTGCTTTGTTCTGTTATGTGATTCATTTGGCTGATCAAATTCGTTTTCTGTTTTTTAGAGCAATCAGAATGTGAAAAAGGAAGAGCCACCTGTAAAAGCAGAAGAACCTAAGTTCCAAGCATTCACCGGGAAGAAATATTCACTGAAAAGCTAAGCTTGGAACGAGGAAATATAATTCAGTGCTGAGCATGAATCCCCCAACTTACTGATAGTTTGACTCCACCTCTTTTGTTATAATTTGGCTAGGTTCTAAGAACTTGATCTAAACCGATAATATACATATGATAGGTTTATAACCGTGTTGTTCAATGACTGTAAAAAATCGTAATTGGTTAGAGCATTTGGCATACAGCAATTCATAACTTTAATTTCCTCTCTGTAATTTATTTTTTTTGGCTACAGCCGGCAACACCAAAATCATGACTCGATCAGTTTACATTATAGTGCCAATGCATGTTTATATCAATATACTTGCCATCTCGCTGTTAATTGCAGATTGTTCAGGCTGTTTTCTCCAGCCTAGTGATGTTCTCAGATATTTCCCATCCTTCACCAGAAACACAACTTCCCATTATTCATCTCACCTTCAACAATCACTATCTTGATTCTTGACTACGATATTACAACTATAGGGATAGCAACCGCTTTCCCTTTAACTTCTAGATAAATGGTTAATAATGCATTGAATTGTTGTATGAAAAGTAGTTGATCAAAGATCCAACATTAGGAAGAAGAGAATGTGTGGCATGTAAACTTAATTGTTCAAAGTGTAATATACAAAAGCCAAAAAGTTGAGCAAGAATGAACTTTTTCCAAATAACTTACTGTAAACTGATCATAATTTAAGTTGACTAAAATCAACCTACAGTAGGTAAAGAATTAATGGATGTTGCCATCTCCAACTTTCTTATGATGACAGTGACAATTACATAAGCGCCTAAGAATTCAACACCAAGGAAAGTGGAAGCACAGAATGTCAGCCAAATCTCCTCCTGTCTAAACTATACAAGACAAACCAAGTAAAAGTCATTCATTCAAGAATTTTTCATAACTGAATTCCAACCTTACACACAGCACATCGAAATTTCAACATCCTAAATCGTGGTCGCAGTAAAATGTTTCCTACCACTAAAAATGTCAGTCGCTATCGTCAATCTTTATCGTCTGTGTATGATGGTCTAACCGTGAGCCAATTTTCGTTGAGACTTTTATACGAAGCACAAATGATGTGCAACTTCGACCTTACCAACATATACTTTGTAGAATGGAAATTTGCAATGTAAGTTGCTAAACTCTTGAGAATTTGAAAGTGAAGTGATGCTACATTTCTACACATGACTTAAACCATTGATGTGCAGATCAAATAAGAAGAGCTACAACATAGAATGAGATACAATATGAGAGAACTTTCATTATAATAACAATGAATACATTGAGCCAAAAGGCAATAGTAGGTTTATATTGACACCAATTTCAAAGGCTACTCTACCTCCACATAATTATATTCTTTGTAGTTATATGATAAGACATTGCAGTTAGTAAAATCAGAAACGAAGGAGATAACCTAGTTCATCTTAAATTCTAAAAGTTAAATTAAGCCTCCACTGCAATCTTCTTTGGATAACTAACATTCTCCAATCTATCTTCAGCTACTAACAGCTCTGGGAATGCCTCTTTGATGTTGTGTATACTTTCTAAGGCATAATCTGCGCCTACAGATTTTTCAGATTTTCCAACCTGCGTTTGAAAAGAGCGAAAAGAAATTAGCTAACATCAAACAAGCATTAGCTTCATCACATTTGCCAAATTCAGATGAAAAATCAAGCTTACCAAAACAGTATGAAGACCCAAATTTTTACCAGCACTAATATTGCGAACACTGTCATCAAAGAACAGCTGTGATACAAGCAACAATATCAGTATGTTAATCCATGCAAATAACAACTCTACACAACAAATAAGACTATAAGATCGAACACCAGATGAAAGTACAAACTTACTGTTCTTTGAGGGTCAATTTCTGCTATCTTAAAGGATTGTTCAAATGCTGTTTCAAAGGGCTTACAGACAACTGGTGTTGGTGGAAGAGTTACACCAGAACTAGGCTGATATTCTAAGATATCGAAAATTTCAGGGTTGGATACCGAGCTCTGCAGGTCTGAATCTCCAACAACAGGAGAATTCTCTTCAACTGCACTCACAGCCACAGGCACTTTACCCTTGTCAGTAGGATTAAGTGTCTCAAAACAGATAATCTTTTCGAAACAATCCTCTAAACCAAGCCTACGTAGAACCTCCGCAGCATGACGCTCATCAGAATTAGTGAGAATCTGTGCACACCACGCCACCATAGTTAATACATCTAAACAGCTATGTAAACACTTCATATTCCTAATTCTGAAGCTCATTAGATAAACAAAGGAAATTACCAGTTTGCGAATAGGGAGACTGAGTAACAGATTCCTCAAAACTGGATCAGGTTTCAGCAAATCATAAGGTAACTTTCCATGAACCAAACTGCAAACCAAAAAATTGAATCAGACTGATATTCTGTTTCAGATAATCAATCTGTTTCTGAAAAACAGTCTAAAACAATGCTATCTATTACAATGATAGTAAAAAAGTAAAGTTATACCTGTGGTAGTGATCATAGTCAAAGTTATACCCGACTGCCTGAATGACAAGAAAAGTTTCAAATTAACGTGATCATTATACAAGTTTCCCGAAAATACTAAAAAAAAATTTTGACAACCAACAAGAAGTTCAAAAGGCAGATTGAAATCATACCCTAAGACCAGCCATTGTAGTTCCATAATACTTGTACAGAACATAGCACATGTCAGGAACTTTACTCTCTTCTATCCCAAGCTGATGAATCATATAATCTGAAAATATTATCAATAAGATTAATTATAAGCTACATTAATTAAATCCCTAGTAATTCATCCTTTCTCTCTCCTTCTTTCACTCTCCAAAACCCTAGCCTCTATTGTTGAATTTTGAAGGGGCTTACATCGATTTTAATCGGTGGAAAGCCCCAATCCTTGTTTCTTTATTGTTTTTTTTAGGTTTATAATAATACTTCCTCCTTTTGGGAGGAACTTTTCTCCCTCGAAAGAAAGGGTTTCCGATCTTCTTCGAAAGACAAGTTCGAAAGACAAGGGTTTTTCGACCTCCTTCGAAAGACAAGATTTATCTCCTCTTTTCGAGGGAGAAATTTCTTAGTTTTGAATCCATGGTAGCAGATCTAATGGATTGTCGTGAAATTATTTCGTTGGTGAAAAAGTTATCAAGTTTTCGAATACGAACAGATGAATCAGAAGGAAATCATCCTCACGGCTACAAAGGATCGTTAGATTGTCTCTTCAACAAGGCTGTAATTCTCAGCGATATAAGCGGGAGATGCTCCGTAGTGCAAGATCTACTCGACGATCGTAGTTTTTATGAAGGAAAATTCTATTTGATTCAATATCTAATGTATTTGTTAACGTCGAATCTCTATTGTAGATGTCGTATGACTTTTAATTAATGAAATATTTTTGCTTTTCAAAAAAAAAAAAAAATTCAATACTTACAAAAAAAAAAAAAAAAAAAAAAAAAAAGGGAAACCAAAAATTAGAAAGATAATTCAAGAATAAAGTACCTTGGATATTTTTGGAACAATGACCAGCAATTCCAGAACTTAGGGGATAAAGGGTATCATCAAGATCTGAATATCAAACAGTATTTAAGTTTTCAGTCTTATTTAAGTGAAAATCAAATTAAAAGATTAAAAGAAAAATGATCTACCAAATAAAAGACAATCATATTTGGCAGGCTGGTTTCTGTGCTCTAATTCGAATTCCATTTTTAATTAATATCTGCATTCAAACCAAAATTTATACAGAATCAACAATCATTCCCCAAGAAAAATAGTGTATTTTCTCATAAAAAAATCCACACAATTACACAAAATGGCAGCAAAACATTTTCTTTAAACGATCTTCGGAAAAACATAACTTTGTAAACAATAGGTTTTGTATACGAGAAGTGTATCGTATTCAAATAATACTGTATAAGATGTCACCACACGCGATACTGACATTTTCCCGTATGATTTAGGGTAATTAAACACGTTGTATAGTATACTCTAGGTTTTGTAAGAATAAAAATGCAATAAAAAACTTTAAACGCACAAAAAGAAGTGCCAATAACAAAACTTTCCTAGATCAAACATACGTAGTACATTAATAAAAAAGCAAATTCATATTTTTATCAAATAACTATTAAAAAGAAAACCAAAAAAAACCCATATTCCCAAACATAATATAATTCGAAACCAACATCATTGATTTTCATAGCAATTTGACAATAATAAATCAAAAAAAATTAACAAAACGAAAAATAAATACAGGGAATTAATTCAAAGAATTAAAAGGTAGAGTACATACCAGATCTGAAATGTCGGCAATGAAAAAGCAAGGAAGAAGAGAGAGAAACTTGAGATGATAAAAGAAGGAAGGCAGAAATTAAATGCCTTGAAAATAAAGGGTTTAAAATTTAAATAGAGAAAATCAGAGAAATAGGAAAAATTGGGGTTTAGCCGTTAAACGTAAGAAAAGTTTCATGGATATAAATTTTTGTTCCCTCCTTTTTTAATTATTTTATTTTATTTTAATTTGGGTATCAATCAATACTGAAAAAATAAAAGAGAAATTATCAAATGGGTTAGTTACATGTGTCATAGTCAAAGAATGGGTGCCTTACACGTTGTACTATGTATGGTTGAGATTTTATTCAATTTTTCAGAACTCCTGCATGGATGAGTTTATTAATTAAAAACTAGCCTTCTCACACAGGATGTTTATAAGGGGTACAATAGTAACTTTTGTTTTATAATATGTTTTAATTGGAAAATGAATAGTTTATAAAGAAGAAGAAGGGGTGATAATCTATATTATAATTGTAGGAAATTTACAAATTGCAGTCATTTAAAGTTCGTATTTTGCAAATTGCAGCCATTTAAATTTTTTTTTTGCAAATTGCAGCTCAAAAGTTCGTAAACATTGTAAATTGCAGCCCGATTCAATTTTTTCATCGGTTTACATGTTGAAAAATCTTCGGTTAAGGTTTTAGGGGTCATTTTAGCCCTTAGGGACCCGAATTGAGCTCGGAATCAGCAAAAAAAATAACGTAAGTGTCTCATATTTACAGTTTCCCACAAATCGGTACATTTTTGTTACGCAAAACAAGATACTTACGTTATTTTTTTGCTAATTCCGAGCTCAATTCGGGTCCCTAAGGACTAAAATGACCCCTAAAACCTTAGCCGAAGATTTTTCAACATGTGAACCGATGAAAAAATTAAATCGGGCTGCAATTTACAATTTATACAAACTTTTGGGCTGCAATTTGCAAAATAAAATTTAAATGGCTGCAATTTGCAAAATACGAACTTTAAATGGCTGCAATTTGCAAATCTATA